GTAGTGTATTTTCCTTTACTAATTCAGGAATGATTGTTGAATTGTTTGTGTTGTTTACACATTGTTATGTTTGGAATTCAGCAGCGCTTGAATTTTTTTACTTAAGATGTTCCAGTTAATCAATTTTCAGATCTGTTTGAGGAAGGAGGGATATGTTTAAATTAGATGGTGCCAGTTAGAATCCAGACAGTGAGTGGGTTTAAAATGAGCGAAGGTTTCTAGAGTATGGATTATGTGATGCTGCCCAGCAGTGTTTTAGATAGTCAGACTCTGGCAGTGACAAAAAGCAGGAATGGACAGGCAGGTCACTTCAAATGGTCTGGATTCTAATCCTGCCCCTCAAAGAGTTGGTGGGAAGCTTTTACCCACCAATCACAGCAGCCATTTCATGAGAAGCCTTCATTAGGAGATGTTACTTGGCTAGAGATATAACTCCCATCCCTCACTCAGACAGAAGCACCACCTCAGGGAGCAGTCAGGTAGAGCTGATTGGTCAGCAGATTCCAGGAAGAGCTAAGCGCAGGATCTCATGGCGAGTAGTGAACGAGAGACCTCACAGTGGGGTGGGGAGAGAGGTCGGAGGATGCAGAGAGTGGTTGGGTGTCTTGATGGTGAGGCCAGGGCAATAGGGAGCACTCGAGCAGTTTGCAGGTGTTGTAGAGGGGAGGCCAATGTGGAAAGGAGGTTTCTTCTCCACCCCCTTTAGGCCCAAGGCCCATGCCCTGCCAGGCTTACCTCTGCCCCTGAAACCCTTCCTGCCAGCCTCAAACCTAAGGCACCAAATAGACCTTTAATTGGTCACTCAATGTCCTCAGTTGGCAGGAGGGTGATGTGGTGCTTTCCCAGGCTTTGCTCGCCTCTGGTAAAATTGCAGATTGAACACGGTCAAACCAGAGATTGTCAGGAAAACCACCTGAGAAATCTTATAGATGCCCTCTGGCACACACCTCCTCCCCAATCTCATTGAGGCTCCATAAAGTTCTGCCCAGAGTTTTAGCAACAGATCAGTGAATGCAGTGATGAGGATGGATAGTGTTAGGATGGTAGAATTAGTCCGTCACTGTGGTGGAGAGAATATAGAGTTAGAAGATCTACTCAAGCTCAAATTAGTGGCAAATCAGCATCTTCCCTGTGAAACATGCCTGTTTATTGCAGTGTCTGCAGAACAATGCAATCCATTACTCAAAATAAATCAGCACAACAGAATCACTGGGCATAATGCTGTCAACATGAAAGAGATAGGCAAACAATAATTATAATATACAGCAGGGTGAAGTTGAAGTAAACCTGCTGAGAGAGAGCTGTCAGAACCAACAATGCCTTCTTTCCCATAGAATGTTAATTTTCATAGAGGATATATAATAACTGTTTTTAACAAACGATATGACATTGAGACTAGTGATTCTTGTAAATAATTTTTGTACGGGTGCTGGCCACTTGTGATAAAATATTTGACCTTAAAATACAGATTATCTTGCGAACAAAATCACTCAAGAGAAAGTAAGAAGATATACTGTAGTATATTCCATCTCTTCATCAACACACAAGCTGAGGGGCAGGAAGCTCAGTAAAGCAAATGTGTCTATATGTTCCAGATCTTCTTGGCTCAACCAAGTGCTCTTGGATTATTTGTTGACTGCTGCAGTGTTCACGTGTACAATGAGCTGCTCAGGTAGGGTCTTCATTTTGTTAGTCGGTGTGCCTCGATGAGCATTCGTTTCAGGTTGGAGATGGGGCTGGTTGATGCAGGGGGCATTGGGTCAAGAGTGAGCTCTTTGAGGAGTGGGGTGAAGGTATCAGATCTGAAAGGGGAGGAGGCCAGTACCTGAGGTGTGGGAACCATTTCACAATATTGTCTAAGATGGGGGCCCAGATGGGAAGTTGGATAGTCAGCAGGTTAAAACTGTGGAACTCCTTACCTCCTTCGGTCTTCCCTTCCTCATAATCTTCTGGCCTTTAAAACCCAACCTTAGCATTACCTAATGACTACTTCCTAATTTATCATGACTTCTTTCCTCTTCTTTTCAATCTTGATGGAATCCTACACTCTAGGCCTCAGCTTCTCAATAGCAAGAAGGAAAGAAAATGCATTTATAGCACCAGTCCCAGGCATGAAAAGACCTATAGCAAAATCAGCCTCCTGGAATTGTACCAAGGCAACACTCCCAGGTATTCGATCTTCCATTACATGGTACTAAGCTGCTTCCCATCATGTGGTAATCCATTAATGACATAAGGCAGCTAAGGACATTTTAAGGAGAGTAATAAGGTCAATCTTGTCCAAAAAAGTTTGCTGCAATTCCAATTTTCCAAAAAACAGATAATCCTAGGTGGGAACTGAGTCAGGGAGGACCCAGCGGATTTGGCATAGCTCCATGAAAATGTGCCAAACGACAAGTCCAGGCACAGTGGGAGTATCTCATTGGCCCACTGGGGAATTCATTTTGCTGGCAGTTTTGAAATTCCTGTTTGTCTTAACATCTGTAAAAACAGTATAAAAGCATATTTTTAATCTTTTCTGCAACTAAATACAATTGGAGAAGCCAGCTCAACAAGAAAACAATTCCAAAATATTATAGCTAAAATCCCCCATATCTTTATGGTGACAGTGACTCTTGCAAACCTGGAAGGTTCCAGATATAACCCTGAGAGCAAAGAAAAATTGGTGAGGGGACCATGAAATGATCACCAAAATGGCAGGAGTGAGGCCTACCTATCGGGTCTGATGGGCAATGGATTAAACCACAGAAGATCGCACTCCAATGAGCGCCATTTCTCTATTTCTGTACAGTTTACTTTGGTGATGTTTATGAATGAACGGCTTCTTAACCAAGAAACCGCAGTGAATGGCCAACTGCAGGTCGTCAGAAAAAGGCTGAAAAGAGTAGAAGGATAAATAAGCCAAATCAAGAAATAGTTAATGCCATAAAAGCTGGATGTTAGAAGTCCATAGCTTATGAGAGAGATGGAGTAATGTTCCACAGTTTGAAGTTCTGAGGAAAAATGAATTAGAGAAAGAGAGTGTGTAATGAATCTTGATTTCAACAGAATGAAGATGCAGGCATAAGGAAGACCATGTCAGACAAAGCACCTGGAAGAGGGAGGAACCCGAGCAGCAATTATTATAGGGTTATGATGAAGAATAAAAACTGAAGGCTAGAAAGGAGTATTCAAACCTCGGTAGGAAATGAATATTTTAAGAAATAAGAGGTTGCTGTGGTGGTGGGAGAAATGCTTGGCATGAAGGAAGAAGTTGTTAGGGGAGCTCCATTACTCATCAGAAAAGATATTGAGGCTGTATCTGCTAATGCGTTATGATGAAGGGTGTCAGCGAATAAACCAGTAACACAACAGCCAATTCAGAATGAGCGTGAAGAAAGGTCAGGATGTTGAAGCTGGAGCGGGAGGCTCAGGTTGATTTAATCTTCTCATCATTGGAGAAGAATATTGCATCTTCAGTTTACTTTGTATTTGAGTAAAGATTCAAGAGGTAAAACTTGTTTGTACTTAATGAAAGTTGAGCCCACAGAGCATACAAATTTAAACATTGAAATATTGGTAAAACTTATTCCATGGGGTTAAATTTATGGCTACCATTTTGAAAACGGTTCAAGTTTTCAAAATGATGAAACTTGGCTAACTTAGACCTTTAAAAATGTCAATCATAGGGCCTCTGAGTAGCAACATTGATTTTACTTCAACTTCTTACTGGGAGGATCAATAATTAATAGAATTGATGTTTGTTTATACACCTCAATATTAAAATCCCACTTCTAAAAATACTGCATGACCCTAATGTTATTAAAGTGTGAAAATCAGTACCTTCTCCCTATGTCCAAAATTCAAGTCATTGATATAAATTCCTGCTCAGGTCACAAATAGTTGATTCCCAACACTTAATGGAATTGTTAAAAGACAGATTATTCACCTCTAACAGTAAGAGTCATTGTTCTTCAAATAAAGATTAAACTTCAAAATTACAGGAAGGAAGTGCCAGCAGGGAAAATCAATTCCTACTCCTTTCATCCTGTCTGAGACAGGAACCCTTGACTTTCCCTTTCATCTTTCTGTACAGTGTCTCCTTTGCTGAATCCCAATCCATTCAGATGTCTACGCCTGAAGATCTGTGCAATAAATCAGCATATCCTATTCCTTCACACCTCACATTTCCCTGTTGTAGAAATGTGAAAATGTTCCCATTCAAATAGATGTCATTTTTCAGGAGGATTTTACATATAAGCATGATTCTAATAATATATAAAATGTGCTAAATTGCAGAATAGTAACAGAAAACATTCTGAAGAATGAAGTAAATTGTTGACTAGCCTATAGTTAAATTACAATGTGGAGATTTTTAAGATGATTGTTATTAGATTACATTTCAGTGGAGCACAAACTAATTCAACAGCTTAAAGGTGACATGATTCCCTGATCAATCATTCATACTTGTGCTTCCCAGCGTGGGAATGGTCTATGTTGGCCAGTAACTATAGGTTCATACTCTATTTGTACTGACTGAGTCTCAGACTGGGATGCCATTGAGACTGCTAAGAGATTTCAGTGGAGGGATTCCTCCACTAGCTCACCATCCATTGGTGGCCTAAATTAGAATGGATGTGGGTGGACACAACTTCTACCTTCTCCCAAAGACACGGCCAATCAACCTGCCAACCCATGGTCTAAAACTACAACTGAAGAAAGGACCACAACATTTACTGTCCATTGAAGGGCATGGGTCAGTGCCTCTAAGGAAGGAGAGGGACAGAGGGGCACACGTGGGGTTGGGGAGTGTGGTGGTGTTGGGGAAACAGAACACACTTACAAAACAAAATCTTAATCTCTACGACTCATAGAGAGGTGGATGACCATAACCAGCAAGCAGAATGAGGAGAACCCCAAAGGCAAATGGTTAGTTTGACTCAATAGCTTGGAGTAAGAGTATATGTTTGAATAACACAAACAGGAATTCTAGTGCCTGGAACCCAGGTTTAGACAGATACCTGTAAATATTGCATCTTATCCTCTTGCATCTCTCTCATTGGGTACACCTGTGGTATTCCCCTTTCCAGGGCTGAGAAGTCATACTTGGCAATACGATCTACTGTCAGGATTTCAGCGGTGCAGTTATACTCATAGGGTCTTTCAAAGAACGAATCTGAGTGAATTGCTCCATCCTGACTGTTTCCTAAAACAAAGAAATTTATCCTATGAGTCATTTTTGATTCAAAATTGTCCAATGCTCCATTTGCAACACATTTTCTTCTAGGAGGCATTGTTAATGAAGCTTGAAATTAAATCAGAAAGTAATTTCAAAATAAATGTTTACACTCAAAGAGTGTGTAATAGTACATTCCACTTGGGAGGTAATCTGCTGAATTAGCAATGAAATTCATTTGGAGATATTAACGCATAGACACACTATGATCTAGACCGTGCTACACATAGAACTACTGCTTGCATATGGTGATGTTTCCTTAGGGACACTGAACATCCTGAACTATGAACAAAATAAGACATCCCCAATCAGCAGGCATTACACACTGGAGCATTGCCTGGAAAGGATCATCCACAGAAAGTTCTGGGTTCAAGACCCACTCCAAAAACTTGAGTGCAAAAATCAAAGCAGACACTATGACGCAGACTGAGGGGTAACTGCAACGTCAGAGGTGCCATCTTGTAGATGTTAATTAAGGCTCCATCACACTCTCATGTCAATACATTGTTCTGTTGGCACTATTCAGAATAACAGCAGGGTGGGGGTTACAACCAGTGTCCTGGCCAATATTTATCCCTCAATCAACATCGCAAAATTAGATTCTGTAGTCATTATCATATTGCTGATTGTGAGAGCTTGCTGTGTGCAAATTCATTGCCTTGTTTTCCAGATTACAAGTAATTTCATTTTAAAAAATACTTCATTGGCCATAAAGTGTTTTAAGACTTCCTGCAATTCTGAAAGACACTATATAAAAGCAAATATTTTGTTGTGTGTCACATTGTAATACAAGCAGCTATTAATGAGTTAACTTTATTAGGGCTTCACCAATGAGGATGACAAAAAACAAATTGGACCTTGCAACAGACTACGGGCTGAATTTCACATTTTTTTTGGCTAAGTCTGAGTTGCATGGAGTTTTTGGAGGGATTTCCATCGTGAGGCATGATGAGTTTTCTCTCTGTACCTTACCAGACTTGCCTCATTAACTACATACAATGTCCCAATTACATCACTAACATCTGATTTTGGCCCATCTTACTACATGCTGTTCCCAGAACAACTAACCACTCAGCAGATCTGGAAATAACCAGCATCCTTTGCACTTGTGCCATCTTTAAAAGTCCTTTGTGCACCTGGACAGGCACTGTCAGTCAAGTTTTGCCCTGCATGAGTCCTGACAAATGCTTTGAGGGCAGGGATCTAGAGGTGCTGCTCGACAGGGTGCTGCAGGGGCAAGATTTCTTCTTCCCCCAGGTCCATCAGTGGGGAACACCACACCACACCATGCCCAACCTAATCTGAAGCTGCCACTCAGGTCAGTACAGACCCTGATATCTGGAGGAATGCACAACACTGTAGGAAGAAGGTCAATGACCTTGGCCGCCCTGCCAGCATAAGTGCCACCTTCTTTTCCCTGATACGTCACAATCACTCTCTCCCTCACACTGTACCCACCTTGTACTAAATCCCATCTACCTTTCTCACTATAATCTGCAACATCTTCCCTCACTTTCTCTGACTCACCCCAACCCCCAACACCACTGACTCTGATGCCCTCTGTGCTGCCCACTCACTCACTAGGGACACGTCTGCCCCTCCACCTGCACCAACAGTGAGAGCTGCACTACACACTCTCATCTCCCGTGATACCTGTCTCTCTCTCATTCCAGGAGGATAACAGCCTCCAGGAGGAAGACCAGTGGTGGAACGCCTGACATTTGGCTCTTTGACCCTATGAGGAGAGGATCATGACTCTGTCCACTCTGAATGGCTGTGTATCAGAGGATGGCCTAGTCTTACTGTGCCAGGGCCCCTTGAGCAAAGGCTTCCTCTCCCTTGATTGAAACCTGATGACAATCATAACAAGCTTCCTTTGTGTCTGCACTGAACAGCACAACAAGACAGCAGTAATCTGAGTCTAGTATCTCTGGCTGAGGGGGCAAAGTGCAAAAAAGTCAATGCAAGGCGATGCAAGGCAGGGATGCTATGAGTATCCAGGTTGGCTCAGAGTGAGTGCTACCACAGTGAGTGAAGAGCCCGGAGATACAGCCTGGTCCACTCCATAAGCTGAGAGTGTGTCCCTGAATGCACAATGTCCTTACTGCAGTGTAACGATGATAGTTATCAGTGCAGCCCACGTGCAGCACTGAAAGGCAGAAGTGTCCTGTAAGTAGATTGGCGATGTGCCACAGGAGCTCTTAGAGGCTGGCACGTGTCAATGGGATGCATGTGGATGGTGCCCATGGAGTGTGCCCTGAAATGCTTGACCCCATTGTCCAACATGGAAGTCCTTCGGAGCAAGCAGTGAGCTGAATTTGCCTGCTCTGGTTTCCATGTTGAGTTTTTTTCTCATCTAGCATGTTTGACAGGTTTGGTAAGATAGCAAAATGGTGTAATTAATGGATTATTAGTTAACTAAGTGTCAATAAGGCATTGGTCAAGGAATAATCCTCCTTAATTAATTACTGCCCTACTTCTTACACACCAAATTTTTTGTGAAAAGCATAGAAGATGGAGTGAGATGCTGCCATCAAGTCGGCTTTACCAAACGTTTCAGTGGATTCTGCCACAAAGCTTACTGTAGCCCACGTCACTCAGAACCCTATAAGATTCTGCCCATTGTCTTTTTGTCTTCGTTCAGTGTTGTAGAAGACTGCACCATGTCCTACATACAGAAACAGCAGAGATAGAACAATATGCTATACGTACACAGAGACGTTGTACAGACTGATCCCTTTATTAAACAGTGGACAATGCACAGGCTGTACATAGTGGCACTGCAGTGCACCAATTCAGTGTATCTCACACAAGCTGCTCACATAAACTTAGGACAATGACTTTAAATGGACAAAATTTAAAAGATAAATTGACGGCACTAATTGATATTAACTGTGCACAAAATTCAATAAAGAAGGAAGATTACCTTCATCTATTTCATCATTGGACATAATAGCTACACATTTTTCCCAGACACTCTTTACATCAGCCCTGTAGCGGTCACAAGCCCAAAGGAACAATGGCAGGAGAATAGACTGCACTATGGAGCACCACAGGAAACACAACACCATCCAAGTGTAAGAGGTATCATACTTGAGGCTTGCAAAGCTCACCACCTGGAAAACAGAAAGGAAAAGTTCATTTGAATCTGAGGAGCTCAGGAACAGTCTAAAACACATATTCCAATTCAAACTCCGATGTTATGGCTTGACCCATAAAAGGTTTGTTCTTTTACACACTGTAATCTCCCCCACCCTTCCTTTATTGAAGGTACTGTTCACAGACAAATCCACAGATGTTGGTGACACATTGATACTTCATTCAAATGCATGATGTCCACCAAGACCAAGTAAGAGCCTCACCTGTGAATGTCAACAGGTATCACAGATGAATCCGGTCTTGTCGTCACCTCAATATCAAGTATGAATGGGAAACAATGGTGATCCTGGCTCATATCATTGAAACTGCAGCCCAACTGTCACCAGTTCTGGTGAGTTGGCTCAATAATGACTGGGGATTCCCAATTTACCCAATTCAATTTCATTATGTGGGGCACAGCATAAACTTCACACTCACTATAAAGGTAGAAATGGTTTGGTAGACTCAGGTATGATCTACAATTGTGATGCTACCCAGCTTCATAACTGGATTCCCATTAAAGAAATCACACTTCTTAATATTCATCTTCTATGTTACCAGCACTGCACTGTGCAGTTTAAATATTCTGTGAACTCACTGGTTGGAATGTGATGCCCTTGTTCAAGAAGGGAGGGAGGCAGAAACCATGAAGCCTATAGGCCAGTTGGTCTATCATCTAATGTTGTGAAAATGCTAGAGTCCATTCTTAAGGAAGAAATAGCTAGACATTTAGAAAAGCCTGACACAATCAAACTGAGACAACATGGTTTTTTGGTAATCATGTTTGACAAATCTGCTAGCATCTTGAACTAGACTGGTCAAATCCAGAACATGACATGTAAATAATCCAAGGCTGCAAACAAAGTGATTGGTTCAGGCTCTAACTGAGGAGAAGCCAATTTAGGATTGATGCCAGGCAAGTTATTTTTGATTCATCACAGGATGACAGCATTGCTGGCTAAGGTGGCATTTATTGCCCAGAGGGCAGTTCAGAATCAACTATATTGTTGTGGGCCTGGAGTCACACGTAGGCCAGACCCAGTAAGGATGGCAGTTTCCTTCCCTAAAGGGCATTAGTAAACCTGATGATGGATTCATGGTCATCATTAGACTCTTAAATCCAGACTTTTATTGAATTCAAATTCCACCATCTGCTGTGGCAGGATTCGAATCTGGTTCCCCAGAACACCACCTTGGTCTCTGGATTAACAGTCCAGCGATAATACCACCAGGCCATGACCTCCCACAGTTAAGCAGCACTTGTAGCAAGTTTCTGTGTGGGGTGATGAAAGCAAAAGTCTTGGAGGTAAACTGCAAATCTTTATGTTTGGACTGACCTGTGAGGAAGAGTGGATTAAACATCAAGTGTGTGGTCCCTTTAAATTATTTTGCAAGACCAAAGATGTGGAGGTTAGGTGAATTAGCCATGGGAAATGCAGGGTTACAGGGACAGGATGGGGTGGGTCTGGGTGGGATGCTCTTCAGAGGGTCAGTGCGGATTTGATGGGCTGAATGCCCTGCTTCCACACTGTAGGGATTCTATGAAGCCTGGCCACTCCTATTTTGTAAGGCAGGATTTATGAAGAGAGCTGTCAGCAGTTTATTTGGCCTGAGGAAGAAATTGATTCCCATTACATTGATGGATTCTGTTTATCCACAAAGCATTCATGTTGAATTGACATAAGTCTTATCAAATAAACTCATAAATCCAAGACAGTAGTTGTTCTAAAGGAAGAGTTACTTAAATTACTACATGCAAGACCAATGGATTTTAGATTCAATTCAATAATAAAAGCCATGCAAAGATCACAGCTCACAGTGCCAGATGCTTCAGAGCAATGAGTGACTCATCCCTTCATGATCTGGGACCTTGCTGGTCAGTGTAGTGAAACAAATGAGAATAATACTGGATTAAGCACCAAAGCATGTTGGTGAGTCATGCCACAACTAAGCACTGATTCAAAAATACAAAAAGACAGTAGCATAGTCACTGACACCAACTCCATTTGAATTTAATATTTAGTTCATTGACTGTCTTCCCCAGTCCACACACACCAACTGTAAAGTAGATGAACATAATCACTTTGTCTTGCCTCTCTGATGCTGTTTTAACCCTCAATAGCATGTATTGAAATATCTCAGCATGTCAGGGCCTATCTCAGGCTGCAGCTAGTATGAAGTTCCAGCTTCAAATGAAGACATGAGATGATCCCGTACACAGCCTAATGCCACAACAGCAGCTTGTACCATGGTATTGATAGGTGTGGGGCTGGCGAGTGAGGATGGGTTATTTGATTCCCTCATTTACAATGTGGGTGGTACAATACAGTGATACAGAGATCTCTATTTGAAAGGTCCATGCAGTTCCTTGTATTGGTTCTCAGAATGTAGGATATCTAGGACTAGAAGGCACAGTTTGAAAAATAAGGGATAAAAGCAAAATATTGCAGATGCTGGAAATCTGAAACAAACACAGAGAATACTGGAGAAACTCAGCACATCTACATGCATCTGTGGAGAAAGAAACAGATTTAATATTTTGAGTCTAGTGTGACTCTTATTTGAAGAGTTATGAAGAGGAGTTACACCAAACTCAAAACATCAACTCCTGTTTGTCTCTCCACAGATGCTGCCAGACCTGCAGAGTTTCTTTAGCATGCTCTGTGATTGTTTTAAAAACTATGGGGACTCCCATTTAAGACTGAAATATTATTTTCTTATTTCAGAGAGCATCAGTAGTCTTTGGAATTCTCTTCCCTGGACAAGGCAGGCAGGGTCACTGACAAAGTTTAAAAGGCACTCGGCAATGGCTTAGTGGTATTATTGCTAGACTATTAAACCAGAAACTTAGGAAATATTCTGGGGACCCAGATTTGAATCTCACCATGGCAGATTCAATAAATATCTGGACCCAGGAGTCCAACAGTGACCACGAATCCATTGCTGATTGTCAGAAAAATCCATCTGGTTCACTAATGTCCTTTAGGGAAGGAAATCTGCTGTCCTTACCTGGTCTGGCCTACATGTGACTAGAGACCCGCAGCAATGTGGTTGACACTTAACTGTGCTCTGGGCAATCAAGGATGGGCAATAAGTACTGCCTGGCCAGTGCCCTCATCCTGTGAATGAATGAAAAAAAAAGTACATGACACTATGACTTATTTGATTGGGGGTGGTGATGCAGGAATGTGGAGCTATAGCCACAATCGGATTAGGCACAATCTTATTGAATGGTGGAAGATGCTCAAGTGACCAAATGGTGTACTCCTGTTGCTACTTATTACGATTTGATTTACTGCCTATTCTAGTTGCCCTGAGAAAACAGTCTTACTGACCTGTACAGTCAACGTGATGGTGATGGTGCTCCCATGATGGTAAAGACAGGGAGTCCCAGAATTATTAACTCAGCAACAATGAAGGGAGTGTGATATATGTCTGACAAAAATATTTTGGCTTGGAAGAGATGACATTTCTGCAATCTTACTGCCCTGTCTTTCCTTGTGTAAGTTGCTGCAATGCATCCTTCAGGTTGAACGTAGCGGGGTCACAGTGTGCCCCTGGAAGAGGGGATGGAATTGAGGTCAGTACATGAGCATTAATTAGGAAAGATATTTTTTCATGAATGGCACTGAGCTTTTGTTGGAGCCACACCTATCTGAGGCAAAGATGAAAATTCTATCCACATGACCCTCCCAAAAAGTGAAAATTAATTCGGTCAAGAGCTTTACCTTGAGAAACTCCAGCAGTAATCTAATGGGTCTTATGATTGGCATCTAACGACCATGAGCACCTTCCAAAGTGTCAGCTATCACTTTAACGAGAAGAGAGCTTTCCTACTGATTCCCACTAACTTCAATGCAAACCCATTACTCATTAGTGCTGCTTCTCTTTCCTTTTGATCTTTTTCAATTCTACATGAAACAACAGTGACATTAATATGATAACAGTATTTATAAAACACCATTAATATAATAAAACAACCAAGGTGCCTCACAGACCATTATCAAACCAAATTTGACACTAAATGTCAAACATTTGTAAAGGTGACCAAAGCTTGGCCAGTAGGTTATCATCTGCAATCTCTCGTGCCAAGGTTGATTCTTCCTTGCAGATGGATGGGTACTGAGATGTCAGTGTTAGCTCTGCGTTTTCAGATGGCCTACAAGCCCTGTCTTAGCCTTGCAGCTTCTCCCACAGTGAGGACAGCAATTGTTAGCCAGTAGATGCATTTGAAAATTGTTGCCATGAGCAGTTCCCCTTTCCACCTGCCTCACCCATGTCTTTCAGGAGCTGTTCCTGTTGATTGGAAGGTCTTGATGGCATTTTTGATGGTGGAGTGCCATTTTGTTATGATTGGGCATTAGCCTTCCGTGTATTGATGCTAATAGAGCAGATGTTCATAAAGGCTTTCAAATTGTCTTCTAACTCTTCTTAAGGGCTTATGGTAACTGTGGCCTCGCATGCATCCCTGATTTTAACCACTTCACCACTGCTGCAAGTGCCTTCAGTTGCCTAGAGCCCAAAGTTCTGCAATCCCTACCACACACACACACACGCATAAACACACACACAGACACATGCGCATAAACACATACACACACACACACCTCTGCCCCTTTACATCGCCTTCCTCCTTTAAAATTCTCTTTATCAGCTGTTAGACATCTGTCTGATTAACTCTTATGTAATTTTGTGTTACGTTCTGTTTTCTAATACTCCTATGAAGCACTTTTGGACAGTTTAGTCTTTAAAGGCATTACATAAATGTGGGTGTTTTTGTTGTCACCTTCATGGTAATGCAGATATGTGGTCAGAAGCTCACCTTGAGGGCATTAAATATTGTTTGATGGATCGTCATACAAAGTCTGTGATCTATACACATAATAATATCAATTATTTAGATCACAAGTTTTGAACTAGTGGCATGTTGATTTTGGTCTACGTGTATAAGGGGGGGTTTAATAATTAACTTGTCACT